TGCATCCAATATTTTTTATTTCATCATAAATATACAAAATCAATCTAATATAAAACATGTTATCAATGTCAGTGAAAATTAATCAAAATTGACAGCGAGAAAAGCTCTCGGAAATCAACTACGAGACAGTCACCTTCATTACGTTCAAAACGAATGCCGTACGACCAGGCAACCGATGACGTCATTGGTTCACGCGGAGGTCATGCACAAAGCAGTGACGTATCCGTTCTCGTTCCGTTCTCGTATGCGCATCTTAATGTCTCTAGTATATAGAAGATATATATGCAAATATGCCTAATTCTAGAAAGTTGTACTCATCTGCTTTTCAAATGAGAGTTGGCGACTGAGACACAATAGTAGTGTTTTCTAGGGATCTCATCATCAGCCGCGAGATCTTCTTTCATGCGTCACTGATTTTCACTAACCACGCCCTCTATAGTTGAAACTGCACTCAAGTTGTAATAATCCTTCAGAATACAAAGTACGTTTATGTATAGGCCCTATAATCTAATGTAACCTGGTTTATACTACATGTGTGTATGCCACGGAAATTAATTACTAGTATTTACATCATGTATTGTTAACCGTAGCTATAAAAACTCTTCCCATTGTTTGGACAACCAACTGACAAATCAAACGCTATTGCGCATGCGCTTCGAAGTATTAGTAGTCTAGTTAGTCGTTTTTATTTTATGATAAATCATTCCCTTCTGTAACATCAAACACAAATATTTAAATATGGGCAACAATAGTTAAAATTAACCACGTAGTACCTTTTTTCAATTACCTCCGTCCCATTATCTATATCTTATCTATACTCGAACTCCCCCCCCCCCCACATGTTTTCGGGGCGCCCCGGTGCCGCCGCTACTGTTCAGGTTTTGTTTTGTTGTTTTGTTAACAGACATTCAAAGTAATAGTAAGAGTACGAGTAAAGCTATCTTTTCATAGTCCCACTATTATACTTGACTTACTAAAGTGATAACGAGATGGCTGGGACATGTTGTAAGAATGGCTGGTGACAGAATACCTAAGGTTGCCCTGAGATGAACACCACCGGGAAAGAGAAAATATGGAAGACCAAAGACAACCTGGTGTAGGACTGTCAGAGCTGTATCGGAGGAGATGGGTCTCTCAAAGGGCGAAACACAGACCAAAAGCTAAGGACACAATACAGTGGCAAGGTTTTATTGCAACCTTATAACCCACCGGGGATGCACAGATTTGAAGTGAAGCGAAAGAGATAATATATCAGGAAGACATACCAGTATGAAGATGACTGTGTTGGGGCCCAAGGCGAGATAATGTATTAGATTTAACTGATTAAATATGAATATGATTTTCGATCAGACATTTAAAAAATGTTGGCGTCAGATGCAATCCGATCGTGCAAAAATACACTGTCTGTTACTAGTCAGATTTTCGAAAAATCGAACGTGTTCAATTTCACAGTTAATAGGATCAGATTATACGTCCGCATAGCAAAGATTGTAATAACAAGAAATAGGTTGATTTATACTACAGTGTACTAGTACAACTCGTGTATATGAATTGTTATAGCAAACTGATATATAATTTTAGTCCCGAGTCACGTGTTGTTTACTACGTGAACACGTGGTTATGTATTACACATATATGTGACCCAATCTAATGAGAAAAGAAAGTCTGATTTAACACCTTCTATAGTCGTACATAGAAGGCAAAAAACAATACACACCCGAACACGTCAGTTGGAAACAGTAATCACTGAAACATTCTAAGTCACGTGAATCAATTGTCTTGATCGTGAATATATTTCTGTAACTTTAGAAAGTGCGTAAACGCGCAAAAGGCAATTATCTTAAATGGCTAAAATATCAGTGATTTTCTGCACTTAAGAGCATATGCAACAAATGTCGCGAGTTGTGGCAATCATGCAGTAGAATTACAAGTTTGCAAAATACGGATAAATTTAAGTTATGGTATGAATGCTCATCATGGAAAGATACAGGTAGATATTTTGCTTCTGAGATCGTAATACCGTGTGACATACGAAGCAAAAATTATAATTCGTTCCCAACCAAGCCAAAATTACAAAGTTTACATATTCTCATATTCTTCGGGATATGGAACTTCCGATCTGATTTAAACCCGAAGGTTGTGTGATGATGATCTCAACTGACAAAGTATAGGCATTAGTATATCGTTTTCAATCAGAGATATTTTTTCACATGATTGTGTTGATTATTTTGCCACATTGTATGTACTCTCGGTTACTAGAAGCGTGGTATGATATGCAAATGAACATGTTTCAGTAGCATCAATTCAGCGAAGTAGCGATTTATTTCGCGTTTTTGTCGGCTTGTTGTTGCGTAATTCGTCACTCGCAACGATAGTAACCATGATATTTTACAGCAACAAACAAGACCACCAAATTAAGTTGTGATGTTACACTGAAACACATAGTTACTCGTGCGATTGGATACAATTTTTTTTCTGAATAAACATACTAGTATCTTACCATTCAATGTGTTCATGGCGGTCGGATTAACTTCATTGACTTCATTCGGGTTATTGCCTTCTTTGAAAAGATCCAACAAGTTGTTGATAGAATACCTGTGGCAAAATCCACCCTGTGATTGATGGATCGATGCGTCTTTGCTCGGATTACTTGTTGCACGATAATCGTACACGTCGGATGCGTCGTGAGTTCGATTCCTTTCGGCACGAGCCGGCAACTCTTGCCGCTGGATTCCGAGATCGGTTTTCTCGGTGGAGTATGGACCATCTCCACGATATAGAGGTTGTACGCATTCTGGGAAAGGATCATTCATTTTAAATAACTCGAATTACACACTTCTTGAAACTGTTTGAAAAAATACTGTTGTTTAGAGAAATTGATAACGAAACTTGACATGCACACGCAAAGCACAATCGAGCAACACTCGACTGATTGATTGATTTTATACCTGTTTTCACACACAACCAATCTAAAGGTGAAATCGATTGAAGCTTTACTATGTTTTCATTTCTCAAGGCATGACCGGATTACAAGGTATTTTATATTGATTTGATGCTGTGTTTTTAGCATTCATCTACCGGGGAGGGGAGTGAAGTGTGGGTT